CTCTGCAGTGGAAACAACTTTTATATTCGCATCATCATTTACAGCTATAGTTCCAGTAAGGGAATCTAGAAAATACAAAAAATAAGCTTAATCTCAGTATTTCTGGATTGATGACTCGATAACGTTACCTGTAAGTTGGAAGGTAGAATTAAGAGTTCCTAACGAATCAACAGGAACGCCGTGATTACAAGTCCATGCATCAATTTGTACTGAATAGTTACCAGCTTTCACTGATTCAAATGTTACAAAGTAAGCTACTCCACTTTGATCTGAGACAATAATTTTATCATATTGTGGAAATTGGTCAAATTTGAATCGAAATTCATATGAAGGACCACTTGGACTATCGTAAGAATAAACTTTAAATAACACTGGTGTACCAATTGTTTGAAGTCCAACGTTATACATCCTAAGACCTGCACCACAGGCTGAAAATGAAAAAAATAGGCAAAAAAAAGCGGTGATAGTTGAGCTTAAAATTCAAACAAGTTATATTATTACAGTACGCTTAGTTTACAAATGTTGTATCAAATAATTGCATCAAATAAATATTGAACTTACTCATTCCATTGATGTATAAGACGATACACAAAATGAAGAATGAAGATAAACTTCTCATGGTGAACTGAAGTTACAGATGATTTTCACTTGAACAATGTTTAAATGAAAGTTTTTTTCAAATATTTATCACAAAAAAACTCTGATGGCAGCTTTATATCAGAGTTTACAAACGGTGATGACCTGGGCTAGCTGTATAGGTAGCCCACAACAGATGGCGAGCTAAAAGTTGCTTTAACAGAGTTCTGATGTAAGATGTATTTGAAGACTTTATTTGATCGACACTAAATGAAGTGAATGTTACGATAACTTACCATTTCATTAGTATTCAACTTTCGAGGCTCGATCTCTTATCTGCTGGCAGCCATTTCGATGCTATGATACCCAATAAATGACATTGTTCATCACCTTTTTAGCATATTAATAATGAATTTAATTATTAGCTTGATTGATGCCATAATCAAATTTATGTTGTCTCCTTAGTTTTCCTAAATAAAATCAAGGATACGAAAACTTTTTTATTGAAAAAATAGACTGATTCAAACTAAATTACAAAGCATTAAATATTATTTATTTACTTGTGTTTTTTATTACAGTTATCGCAACATTCAACGTCTTTAAATGTATTGAATGCTCTGTTAAAGCAACGTTTATCTCGGTCGCCATCTAGTGCGGCTGACCTTTACAATCAGCCCAGGTCATCATCGCTTGAAGCTGTCATTGGAGTTTAGCTGTGATAAATAGTTTTCATCCAAACATTGTTCAAGTGCAAATCATCTGTAACTTCAGACCAACCATGAGAAGTTTATCATCATTCTTTATTCTGTGTTTGGTCGCAACCATCAATGGAGAAAGTAGGTTTAATATTAATTTAATAATTAACTTATAACTATTTGAAGAGCCTTTAAGCTAAAAGCAAATATCTTTTTACATTAATTATTGTCATGGTTTAAAGTTTATTCAATTTCAATAAGATGCTGTGATTGATGTACAAGCATTCAGTCATCTTTGCGAGTCCTTTTGATCTACAATCTTTTCAATTTGTTTACTTTCAGTTTATATGGGTATTTTTACCCACAACCGAACTTTTAGTCTGTTGAAAACTGGACCTTTTGTGGTTAACTCTGAAATTGATTTTCTGGTTAAAGTGGCCTATGCCTATGGATCAAGAGCTACATCATATGAATATCGGTTCAAATTTGACCAATTTCCACAGTATGATAAAACCATCGTATGGCCTGTTTCAATGAAAATCTACTCTGTTAGATTTGCATCAACCTGTGAACTGAAAAGTGGCAACTATACAGTACAAGTTGAAGTACTGAGATCTGTACTCGGCGCCCCAATGCAATCGTTAGGAACTCTTCTTGACACCTTCGAGCTTAAAGGTAAGATTAGCAAGTCAACAATACAACAAATAGACCAATTCAAATTCACTTTTATACTGGCGATGTGCGTTATTTATTTTATCCATTTAAAAAGCGTAAAATTTGGCCAAAGTAACGATATTTTGTGCTATTCAATATCTGAAAATGGATATTGCACATCAAAAACCTAATACGGCGGCTATTTGAGTATTTGGTACTTAAAAATTATGTCCATTCATCTTTGAGAATTATTTTGATTCACGTTTTTCTTGACTATTCATTTTTTACTTTAGAATGTCAGTGGACCTCACATATAAATAACGATGGACCTGCTATCCTTGGTACACCAATTACCTTCATAGCAAGCAATACCTTTCAATCTTATAACGGCCCACCACTTGAATACCGATTCAAATTTGACGAGTTTCCTGAACATGATAAAACCATCGTCTCAACTGAAGTTGGAGTTGAATATACAATAACGTTTGAATCGTCTTCAACAGTTAAACCTGGCAACTATACCGTGCAACTCGATGTTTGGACATGTCATCTCGATGTCCCTTGTTATTCGTTAGGAGCTGTTAATTCCACCTTCCAGCTTACAGGTAACGTTATCGAATCATCAATCCATTAATATGAACCAAAACCTATCAATATCTAACTTCTCATTCAAAGTTGTTATCTTCTGATCTACTTCTAATACAACCATGATTGTGCTCCTATTTGAATATTCAGGGATAGAACTTGATTTTATTATAATATAACAAATTAGCAAATCATTGCTGGCTAAATAACAGCCTTTAATGAAATTCAAATTGGTCTGAATTGAATTGAAATTACTCCAAGAGAAGGAAAATTATCGAGATTTTAGTTGACCCAATGATCCTAGCCTATCACTCTTTTTACTGATTTCATCGTTTAAAGTCAAGGTAAAGGTAAAGGTCGAAAAAGTTATTGCGATTTGAAACTTTGACTGGAACACTCTTTTTATCACTTTTCCTAGATTCACTTACTTGATATCTAGGTGGATTTTCAGATTCAATAACTTATTATTTTCTTAGTTT